AAGCTTCAGTACAAAGTAAGGAAAACTGATTTAAAAATACTGCAATTGTGCTGACACTTTCGACAAAGATAACACCATTTTCCAGTAGATCTTTACCACCTATTTCATTAATATGTGTAGACTTTCTTAACTCTTATTTGGTAGCGACTTATGAGCCTTCAAATTTCAGGTCTGCCAACTTTGAGAAGGGCTGGAGCAGAAATATGGTAGGTTAGAGGTACTAATCTCTGGCAACTCACTCATATCTACCTAGGCAACAGTACTGTGCCATCTTTTCTATCATAATTCATTCGTGAGAAGAAACAAACTTTAAGCTTCTTCAGTCACGTCATACTAAGGCCATTGTGTTTCTTCATAACTATCACGCGTGATCTGTAGCTAGCAATTCTTTGATGTGGTATAATTATTATTCTTGGAGTACAACCCACAATGATATGATCATGTACAGTTAGTATAAATAGCTAAGCTATGAACTGATGTTAGTCACATACCAACAAGAACAAAAAAAGAATTTTTGGAAGGGGCTTGTGTCCTTGTCTCATAGGGCCCTAGGGGCAAAGGCATAGGGCCCTAGGGGCAAAGGCATAAGTCCCTGTCCTTCAAATATTTACAATTTTACTTGAATTTTTTTATTGAAGTTATAATAGTCTATGTGCATATTTATGAAATCAAAAAATTTCGATCCATGAGTCTAGTAGATGCATGAGCAGCATGACAATCATACAAACCACAAATCACTAGTTCTTTATACACATCTCAGTGGTTTTTTGGAAGATTACAAAGCAGTTTTGGCAGCGAGTCCAAGCACCGTAGGTGTCTCATTTATATTATTATTTTGTATTTACTTGTTTTTGTACGTGTTTATCATAAATCACTTTGTTAGTTATTTCGTGTTTAAATTAATAATTATTAAATAATTGATGAGTTAGCATCGTCAATATAAGCAAAATACAATTATTATTAATTAATCACATAAATTAATATTACTCTATCTTTTATAGTATTATATTCATAACACTCTGTGTGTCTTTCAGAGCTTTATATTTTTTTTAATTGTTAACGATTCAAGAGTTGGTAAATGCCTCTTACTTCTAATTGAGTTAATGTTGAATTGTTGATAATTAGTTCAGAAGGAGACTGAGCACTAACTGAAGTAATACGAGGATTAATATTGGAAAATAATACTAAAAGTGTTGACAATATTCATAGATATCATGTCTCAAAACATAAATGTCATTATACCTGATGATTCTATTGATGACTCGCTTTCATCAACTTCTCTATCTTCATATGAGATACCTTTAAACTATCAATAATTATAATTAATAATAATTAGTATATACCTAATGTGTCTATTGCACCCTTCAATTTAAGCATTCTCCTCAAGTAAATCATCTCTTTCACTCTCTACCATCTCCAGTT